ACACACACACATACACACACACACATACACACACACACATACACACACACACATACACACACACACATACACACACACACATACACACAGCTTTCCCTGTTCCTTTCCCAATGCACCCGAACAGTCAGTCATATGAGCAAGATCCACTGAGTCAATCCCGTGGGGATGGATAGCTTGAGTGACTACAGTAATTACATACTAGGTAGTAGTAGTAAGGAACCTACTAATGTAGACCGTCTCTTCCTCCCGAGGTTCACTACCCTAGCCCTTGTAATTTACCACCGGTGAACAGAAACCTCGCTTCCTGAGTGGCGGATTGCTCCCCATCAGCACTTGGTCAATGTATTGGATCCGTTTGGTAGACCTGAATTTTTTACCCGCCATGCTCGACTCCGTATATTAATACCGGGGCTAACTTGCTGCCTGCTGGTACCCCAGAAATCAATCATCAAACCAGACCACTAAACTATCTTAGGCATTAGGCACAGGAACAGGTTCTTGTACATGGAGGTTTTCCAGTTTTGGGGCAGGAGAAAAAGCAAAGAGAAATCTCCTATTGATTGTTTTACTTCCTTGATTTTCAGACACAGAGCAAACCAACCAATTCCAGACTTTCGTTCGTATTGAGCGATATCACGGGATGATTGAAGCCCATTCTATTTTGAGAAAAATACGCCACCACCACCACCAACTTTAACCCTTCCACATACATGAATTACTCAAAATAACATTCCGCAAGGAATGTACGGAGTATACAAAAAGAGTAAGATGCAATTTTTAATTCAATGCAATCAGTTCTCTTCGATTTATATTCTATCCCGACCAGGTACTTTGCATCAGGGACCCCTCAATCACACAAAACAGCTTCACTCTGCAGCGGATCGGCGGTTGATTTGGCTTTTCGTCCCTCAATGATCGACATTATTAGTCTCTGTCCTACGTTATCCTTTTCCTTGGCAGTTATCCACTGAGACCCTTACATCGGAACGCCCTGGCAGACAGTGCCTGTTGGATGCTTGATGACGGAAGCTTGCGCTTTACCTTTCTTTTTGCTTAACCAAAGTACAGAAGAATGGCCCAGCCCCCGATTGCACTCTGCAGGGAGCACAGAGTACTGCATCACCAGCGACCGCGTTGAAAAGGATGACGTCGGGGAAAATCCTAGGACATGCGTCAACATTCCTCTAAGGGGCTTAACAGAAATTCGAAGTTTATTTCATTCATCTGAGATCTCTCATTAGAGTTTTACTGTACATGACCCGCTGTCCTACAATCAACAATCAAATTAACACCACCCCCGGAAACAGCAAAGAAAAACAAATGACGGCCAGAGCTTAATCCTTTCCATGGTCAGCCAACCCGAGACACTCGGCCATGTTGAAGAAGATGTCCACCGAGCTGTACACGCCACCAAACAGCTCCTGGCAAGGGCCCTGCGCAAACACCGGTACATCCGTCAATGAGTGCACACCCTGGTCCGCATCGACGGGTAAAGTGCCGTTGATCAGGAACCCAGTCACCGCGTCCTTGTAGTTGGCAAAGTAGCCGTCGGATCCACTGCGCTTCGTCGCGGGCTTCCGAGGTCCCTCCTTGTGCACTTCATAATTCTCTTGATGGTCGGGGAACGCCACCACGCCGGCATGCAGAGTGTAGCGCGGATCCCAGCGGGCCGGGAAATGGACCCCTTCCGAGTACCGCAAGGCGTTAGGGCCGCGCACGGTGTACTGCGAGAGTCCCGAATTCTGATAGGTTCCGACAGCCCGTCGCTTGTCGCGATCATCTTCCTGTGCGTTCAGGTATTCGGTGTCAACCGAGCCGGTGACGTCGAATCCGTGGCCGTGGTCAGCGGTAACAATAATAAGAGTGTCCTCCAACTGCCCAAGGGCTTTGAGCTTCTCGATCGTGGCGCGCACGGTATCGTCAAGCTCTAGCAGTTCGCCTAGAGACCGGTCGTAATCCAATGTGTGCATCTGCTTGTCGATACTGGCGGCTTCTGACATGAGGAACCAGCCATCATCCTCGTGCCGGGCGTTCAATACGTCGATTGCCTTGAGGGTCATCTCCTTCAGTCCAGGAAGATCCTCTGCGTCACGCTTTGAGCCATCTGGATAGTTGCTCTTGTTGCGAAGGTTCTCCTGGTAGACGTTGCGATCGAGCCAAGTAGCCAGGTTGGATGTGGAGAAAACACCCAGGGTCTTGGTGTCATTCGGGGCAGCCTGCAGAGCAGTCTTGTTCCAGCTAATACTATATTCCTTCTCGGAGAACAGTTTGTAGTAATCCCGAGGCGCGTCTTCGCTGGTAATGAAGTTCTCCGCACCGGCGCCGAGGAGGACGTCCGGACCGTCCCAGTTCGTCCATTCATACTTGGTCAGCCCTTCAAAATAGGCGCTGATAACGTGGTCATACTCGCCACGGTCCCGAGTATGAGCAGCCAAGGCAGCAGGGGTGGCGTCAGCCAGGAAAGCGGTCGAGACTATTCCAATACCGGCATCGGGGTACCGGCGGCGGAAGATCTCGGAAATGGTCTCGAATTTCGGGTCATCGAAAGGATCTTTCGACGAGTCCACATACACGTTCAGAGCGTTCACTGTGGTCTTGTGGCCCGTATAAAGTGCCGTGGCCGAATTGGCCGAGTCCGTGATGAAGGAGTCCATCGAGTGGGTCATCTGGTGGCCCAAGACTGGGAACTTATCCAATTGCAACTTGGTCAAGTACTTGCCATTAATGCTGCGGTGAGCGATCAAACGAGCGGCCGTTATCATGTTAGTTGTCATACCATCTCCGACGAAGAGAACGACGTTCTTCGCCCGTCGCTTCTCTGGGAGGTCGCGCACCAGCCAGTTGGCAACCGTCTTTTCCTGGCCGTAATAGGTCAGCGTCGCCTCGTACTCGCCAGGCTCGTAGAGAGCGACCCTTCTGTATGCCTTGGCAGTGACATTGACGAGAGAGGGCTTATGCGCATCCTTCGCGAACAGGTCTACACCACTTAGTCGATGCTATATTCTTATCCAGCGGGGCGGTTCAAAACCTACCTTCATACCAGGTAAAGTTCCATCTCTCAAGTTCCGGCTCGTCGATCTCGAAATATTCTGCCGCGGCAACCCCCTCTTCACCTTTCTTCGCGATAGTGAATTTGAAGTCCGGATCAGGCTGGCCCTGGCGAGCTTCAGAGCCATTGACAGGCGAGTGGACTTCAAGGCGGATGTCAAAGTACTGTCCGGGGAGGAAATCCGCCCTAGTAGGAGTACAATAATTAGCCCTAGTGCTCTACCGCCGCCAATTACACCGACTTGAAGTCACGACTATCAAAGGATAAAAGGCATACTGGTCAGGAGGGAAAACACAGCCCAAGGTTGGACAGCCACCCAAACGCTGGTAAGTTTGGGCAACAGCGCAGGAGGCGAAGATCGCCGCACCTGCAATTGAGACGAGCCTCATCGTGATGCAGATGATGTGATCTCGAGGCAGAAGTAGAACACGAGGCCTGCAGCTGAAGGACAGAGGAAGACCAATTCCCAGGCGGGAGAAACACGTCCTTTTAAAACATGGAATGCCAAGGGAATGCGACGACCAGATACCACCCTCGCATGGCTATCTCATCTCCTGTGTACGGGTCATCCATCTCTGACTGGGTGGAATGATACGGGCTAAGTCTACGTGGGAGATAATCTCATTCGAAAGCTGCTAATCCTTGTACCTTGTGCTTGGCGAATTCTACCAGGGAACCGTTAGCTAGGATCCCGTAGACAAATCGGAATCCACCATCATCTACACGTGCAGAAGGGGGGCGTTCAATGGGGAAGCTTGGATGACGGCCCTTGTCCTCCGCCAAGCCAACTGTGGCTTGGCACGGAGTACCATGCCAAGGTTCTGGCTGGGCACGTGGGCTATTCCTGGGGGAAATAATGGAATGGTTTCCTTTGATTATGTTCGGATGAGAGGGGCTTTGGATGGTGTCATTCATCGTTCACGCTTCCGTTGGCCATGTTGGGAGGAGGGTGGACAACGAGTAGATTCGGTTACTAAATATTTACTCTCAGGGTCTCCGTCAAAGCGAGAAACCTTTGCAGAGATACGAGATTCACTCTCTGGATAGATTAAGCGAAGAAATTGTATTGGTTGCCCTAGGGCTGCGACAAGAATCAGGAGACATAGCCAAGGCTCGACTCAGGTACCAAAGTGAGATTACCTTTATAGAATGTTCCTCGACTACCTAGTAGGGCTTGACTCCGGTGCTCATACATCATACGTTTTAGGGATAGTAGACGGTGGCTTTAGTTGTCTAAATTTGAAGGGTCAAGTGACGGCTCGATTCTCGATTGTTGACTTGTGGCATGAATTCCCTGATATATACTCTTCGGACCCCTCTGGCTCTCACGTGCCCGCATGCAAGGAAATATATATCTTGAAGCAGCTAAACTCAGACAAAATCGAGCATCTACTACACATTGGTTTATTTTCACATTATTTTCACAATAAATGGAGGAGATGAGAATCAATAATATGGAGGATATAAATATCTCTAGGAAGAGATCAAAGTGAGCTCTCCCACTATCAGAATTTGTACAGGTAGTTATACTATAAACTTACGTAAACTTATGCAGGGAACATCTATACTCAATTTCGCAAAATATTTAATCATGTCCTATAAGTATTGTATTATGCTGTCTGAGCTTGAGTTTCACAAATCTGAACAGTGGGGAGAAAGTAGTGGGTCAGTGTGAAGTCAAGATCAAACAATATTTATATCGTACACCGCGGCCTTTTCCCTTCATAGCTTAGCCTACCAGAAATGTTATCACCTTTGATCTCCAACTCTCCAATAACAACAACAACAACCACAACCACAACCTATTCGAACCTACCGACCGTACCTTTTCCTTTGCCCTTCACTATTCCATGACTTCCCCACGATAAACCAATCTATTGCCCACAGTTGTTGCAGCTGTCTTTATAATTACCTCCGCTCAGCGTTCCAATAAACGTATTGATCCTACGCCATGGACCAGCCACAACCACCCACCGGTCAACCTGAGCAACCCCCACCGCCGACTCTTACAAATCCACGTTTTACTCTCGAGCTCGAGTTCGTTTCCTCGTTGGCTAACCCATACTATCTCTCGCACCTCGCAGTCACATATCCCCATCTGTTAGGAATCTCCAACGCCAGCGATGAAGGCGACGCGACCAAGGACGCTGCGGATCCTGACGCCCAGGCCTTCGCCGCGTACCTTGCGTACCTCTACTCATACTGGAAAACTCCCGAATATGCCCAATTCCTAACTCATCCTGGTGCTACCCTCCGCGCGCTACGACTCCTCCAAGAAGACACATTCCGCCGGGATATCATTCGCCCCCAAGTTATCGAAGGGCTAGCGGGGACCGGCATTAGCAACGAAGAAGGCGATGCAACTATCGAACAGGAGGGGGAACAAGATAAGGAAGAACAAGGGAAACAGGATGCAGCGGGGAATAATAATAGTTCAAAGACCTGAGCTCGGCTTTAGGGGATGAATATAAAGAAGAGCCGCGGGCATTTCTCTCGGTCTCCACGCTCGGTCTGCTCGGATGCAACCTAAAAAGGAAATCGTTGCGGGCGGCGGAGAAGTGTCAGGGGATCTACACCGGAGGTAAAAGAATTGGGTTTTCTCAAACCCTTTTCGCTTCTTCCCCGCGAAGTTGCTTCGATCGAGGTGCGGACACACTGATGCCGGTTGGTTCGCGATGGCGCGGAGCGTCATGTGTGACCGAGGCACGGCCGCTTTTCCTTGAATAGTTCGTCAATGTCGGCTATTTGTACCCTGCGAAGTGTCATAACGTCCTTTTTGGGGTACTCGCTATGTCTGTGCTGCATAGTTCGGGATGTAGCTTGATTATCGTTCGGTATCTTCCCTAAATGTGGAGAGCACCTGCTTGTATGTATCTAGTAACTACTATGGGAATACATGCATACAGGGAGCGCGCCTTGTGACCGATGGCGGTAGCATGGAATTGGGAATGGATTTTACTTGGAATGTTAGATGCTCTTAGTATTTCAGTTGTATTGAATATTCAAGTTCCAATTGTTGTGTACATTTGTCGACTTCTAGACAAATACGAGTTCATTTCGCTATGACGTGGGCCATTACTTCATTTTTTGTTTTCCTTTGTAAAGAAAGACAAGAATGAAATTTAATATAAAATTGCTTAGAAAATAAAATAGAACGAGCAAAAATATTTGACAGACGCCATAAATACAATCTACCAGTAAGCCTGGTAATAATAAACTCCTTAACGACGACGATCGCCAAGTCTCACGGGGCCAGAGAGGAACAGACTGATTTTCCCGACAGGTTCCTTTTCTTAAACTCCGTCACTAGTTACAACTCTCATCCTTCTGTCTTTCTTTCGTCCTTTCTTTCTTCCCTCTCCACACGCACAACCCCTTCTGCGTAATCCATCTGCCGCGCACTCCTTGAGCACACTTGAACTTCCGTAAGACCGCAGCGTCACTCCTTACCTGCCATTCGTTCCTGGTACAGACTACCCGCCACGACATAACTGGCGACTACTACCTAATATATCCGATGGACAGACCCCACCCCTTGGTGACTTGACTATCTTGCCCTGGACTTCATTTTCCCACCGATCCCTGTGTCCGTGACGCGTACACTAAACCATTCAATTACCTCGACTCCATGTCCGGTTCCAGACTCTTTTTTCTGACCCACTAAATTCTGTCTCTCCCAGCCGCTACCCCTGGCACTTTCTGGAATCGCGCCTGACGCCCTGTACCGCTAAAACTTCAAACACGGACATAGAATAACCTCCCCGGGAACCCTAGCCGATGGAGGGTGTACGCCAGAAATGCAGACCGAAACATCAGGTTCTGGTCTTGAAATGCTATCCACAGTACCAGAAAGGAGTGCAGGTGGTCAAGCCGAACTCAAGTGAACTCTCTTATCTGCTCTACTATGTGAGCACCCGCCGCAGCAAGCTGACAAAGGTCGGCGCCTTCTTGGAGAAGAGAGCCGCTCGGGATGTGTGGCGCCGCAAGATAGGGTGAGTTTACTGGGGAAGGCGAGCGAAAGGTCATGAATGAAATTGGCAAATAGTCTGCGGGAAATTTCGGTGAAAGTCAGCTGACATTGTGGTTGCGTCCTCTAGAAATGTGCAGGTTACGCTTCAGATCTTGAGCGCGCTCATCGAGAAAGTTCCCCGTGACTTGCCGATCTACGCACGGTCGGTCATGACAGTCCTCGAAACGGTCGTACGCTCGCAGGATATCTCCATGGTCGAGGATTCCATTGAAACCTTCGAGACCTTCTGTCGACATCAAGATATGGCGGCACTATCTGCCGAACAGGATTTTGCTACACAGTACCGAGAAGTGGTGCGGTCGTATGCGGGTTTTGCGGAAAGCGACTCTTCTACTCAATCGAAGCTTGCTGCGGGTCCTCCGGTTACGGTTCGATGGAAGACGGCGGGATTGAGAGCGATCAAAGGTGTGGTTAGTTCCGAAGCGGGTTTGGCTGCGGATGGCGGAGATTCGATACGGGTCATTCTCCCGGTCATTCTGGAGAACCTCTACAGCCCGGATGACAATTTGGTTGGTTCTCTCGAATTGAAGCTCCTCGAAGTGGACAAGAACGAATCAGAGACTGCGCACCGACGCAGGGTTAGCACGGCCACCGTGGAAACGGTCGACGCGGTGGAGGGGGATGCGTCATTGGCGGCTCAGAATACCGCTGATGTGGATCGAAAAGCGGAGATGGATATGAGGTTGCTCGCTTTGCGGTGTCTGGAGCAGATTGTCGTCAACGGGAGCAGCCGCGGCCAGATTCGTGTCACGACTCAGGTTGTGCTGGACTTTATTCTGCGCAAAAGTGGTAATAACCTAGGTCAGAATTACAAGGACAGCTGGGCTACGTCGTTGGTTGAACTGATCGCCAAATGGTGTCCTGTTCAGGTTCGCTTCATTATTTTGGTGGCTGCTATGGATATTCTGCACGACATTCCTCCCGCAGAAGAGTCTCTGGACGAATCATACGCCATCATCTATCTGATTGATCGGCTGTTAAAATCCCCCGTGAATATGATCGGACTTAGTGTTATTGATGTCTTACTGGGTCTCTTGCGTCATATGTCGTTCTTGATATCACCCTCGAGGGCTGGCAAATCGACACCAGACGAGAAGCAAAACGGACATTCAGCCCCTTTCGAGCTTTCAGCGAAAAGGGCAGAGGTGGTCTCACTCCTGCAGGATTGTATAGGCAACCTCACGACGCACATTTACTATGGCGAGCAGGTTGTTGACATGGTCAGGACGATTTTGACTCGGTTCAAACCTTCAAGAGGCAACGAGCAGGCAATAACCTCGTCCCCAACACAGTCTGATGCCCTGGGAGGCGGCAATGGTATGGTTTCGTCTGGGGAGGGTGGCCCAATAGCATTCTCCCTGCCCAGCGCAAAAACGGCAGCTCTCAAAGCGATCAAGAATATTCTCCTTGTTGCAAACACGAAGCGACTAGGAGTCACACTGACCGCAGAACCCAGGCATCAGGTGGGTCTGTATGTATGGGAAGGTACGCAGTGGCTTTTGAGTGAACCCGACAGGGATGTTCGTTATGCATACGTCGATGCCTTTTTGACCTGGCTGAACCTGGAAACATCTACCGATGATCTTAAGGTTAAGGAGAGAACTGGCAGGCCGGCCAGTCAACCGGTCAAGACTGACTTATCAGACACCACGGAACGGCCTGGAAAGCGCACTGCCAGCATGAGCGGAAACCAGAGAGAAAAGGTGATTCTCATTGCGCAGTCCAACTTCCTTCGCTTACTTCATCTCACTATCTTTGACCTTGCGACTGATCACCCGACGTCTGTTTCCGAGATTATGCTGCTTCATCTACTATTAGTAAGCCTGGTGAAGCATCTTGGGGTGAACGCTGTTAGATTTGGACTCCCCATGGTACTGAAACTTCAGGACAATATGACTACCGCTGATGGCCAGTCCTTCCCTACCCTGGTGAATATTGGAAGCTTGGTCTATGGCTACCTGTGGGCATTATCTGAGAAGTTCGATTTGGAAACCTCCAAGATTGGCAACGGAATCCAGAGCGAAGTTCAGAAAAGACAACAGCTCGGTGTTTGGCTTGAGACAATCCGTTTGCCGCCCGTCAACCTTGACAAGATTGTCCACAGCAGCAGTGTCCAGGCTAGTGGCCGTGGTGCTCAGGACGTGGGCCTCCTGATTCCGTTTGACGGCGGTGAAGAACTCATCCAGCGAATCGAAGCATCTTATGGTTCCTTCATTACGTTACTTACTCACAGCCCACCAAGCTCTCCGGGGTCTGTCGGGTCTCCACCGCGAAGCATCACAGCTCCTGTACTGCCGCACATGTCGCGCCCGCAACTACACCGAAGGCTTACGTCCTTCCTCCTGCGGTCAGGGAGCAGATGCTATCTCCATGGTCAAGAGAAGCCTGCCTGGCAGCTGCTGAAAATGAAAGAGCAGAGGCCAAATCCCTGAGCGGATCGCGGACCGGAACCTTAGTTATACGCAACCATGTTCATCAGAACGGGACTAGTTCTCCGTCAGCAGGTTCAAACGTATCCGTGCCTCAAGGTGCTTACGCATCTGTAGCTGGCCTGCAGAATGGCCGAAGAACGAGTGTGCCGAACTCGTCCGGCTCACAACTCATCAGTACTAGTAGAGAATCTCCGGTCCACGTGAATGAATTGAGACGTGTCCTCTCTGTCAATGAAGAAGGCAAGGCCCGGCGAATGAGCCCGCTCAGGGGTCGACTTGACGGCTCGAATCGAAGTGTTATCTCTTCCAGTAGCGACAGTATGATTAGTGGCTATTCACTGTCCGAGTATGAAGATGGTGCCTCGGTCAAGCCCCAGTCTGTCAGAGGCGGGCAGATCTCTCTCGATGGAGAGGAAACCCCCAGGGCCTCGGCTCTGTCTTTCATGGTAGATGCTGATGATATTCCGCCTGTACCGCCTATCCCTCCAACTATATCTATTCAAGGAGGTCTTTCAGATGGTCAGCCGCGATCTGTTTCGGTTAGTCGTCCTTCAACTGCTCCCGGACCTCGCCGACCATCTGTCACGAATGGAAAGGCAGGGACGCCTGGTACGTCGCCTGGTCGGTCTCTTAGCAGAGATAAAAGTCGATCGAGCACAGGTTTGGCAGCGGTTGCCACTGACGGTGTTGAGCCGTATGCAGAGAATATTGATAGCGCTCGCCTTGACGTGCAAAAGCTACTGGAAGGGTTCTTGTCGCCAGCAGATGCGGAGACGAAGGGCAGCAGACGGAAGGCCCGAAGTAATACAGGGCGACGAGGCGTGAGTGGAGGGCTTGGCCGCCCTCCCTACTGATGGCATACCTATAGATGTCGTATTAGTGTACTTGACTTTCCTTCATCATTACCTTTCATTTGTTGTGGTTGCAAAGCAGCTTCTCTACCGTTCCCTTGACCCTGCACATATCCAGTTTTATCTTATACCTTTTTCCCATCATTACAGTCTCTTTTTGCTCTGCATCACATTCTCGGGTTCCTTTTGTCCGAATCTTGCCCTGCTTTTGCCATCTCACTTATCTCCCTCGATAATGGCGTATGATCTGATAGACTTTTCTATGGTTACCCACCCGAGCTTTGCTTTTTCTGCCTGCATCAAAAGGTCTCGCGTGCTTTCTGTGGTTTGAGTTAGCTTCTGTGAATATATGCGGTTTATCATTCCATGACATTGTGATGCTTTGTATATATGTAGCCGCCATCGCTTACTGGATAACCTCAGAACCGAAAGATACCCTACTTCTAAGGACAACTTGTGTATATACATGGAAGACACGAATGAGTATCCTTGATACGTGTAGGCTGGTTTGATCAAGACTGAATACTGCGGATAGAGCAGTGTAACCTAACTTTTAGTTTCAGTGATGGTGTCGATCTATAACATACATTGATTGCATGATCACATGTTCGGGACTCGTGACCGCAGCCTCACTGTACAACAACAGCAGCCAATTCTAATTTATACCAAATCTGTCTCAACCTCACACCTCAGCAAACTACACCCAATAACAACAAAACCAGAACAATGCACACACTCACTCTTCTAGCTATCCCTCTCCTAACAGCTGCCATTCCACTCCACCAACCTAAAACCACCGAATCCGCACCCCTTCCACTGGTTATCTGGCATGGCCTAGGCGATGACTTCCAACGCGAGGGCCTGCTCTCCGTCGCCTCCCTCGCGGAACAAACCAACCCAGGAACCTATGTCCACCTCATCCATCTCTCAGACACCGCCTCCGGCGATCGCCAAGCCACCTTCCTCGGCAACGTCAGCGAGCAAATCGACACCGTCTGCGCCCAGCTCGCCTCCGACCGCATCCTCAGCACGGCCCCGGCAATTAACGCCCTCGGATTCTCTCAAGGTGGCCAGTTCCTCCGTGGCTACGTCGAACGCTGCAATGCGCCGCCAGTCCACAACCTCGTCACCTTCGGCAGCCAGCATAACGGCATTGCCGAATTCCAAGAATGCGGCTGGGGCGACTGGATCTGCCGCGGTGCGGAAGCTCTCCTCCGGGCAGGACGTTGGTCGTCCTTCGTGCAGGGTCGGTTCGTCCCGGCACAGTATTTCCGCGATCCGACCGAGCTGGACGAGTACCTAGCCAGTAGCAATTTCCTTGCTGATGTGAACAATGAGCGCGAGGAGAAGAATGAGACGTATCGGAAGAATTTGGGGCGTTTGAATGCATTTGCGATGTATATGTTTGAAGAGGATCAGATGGTGCATCCGAAGGAGAGTGCCTGGTTTGGGGAGCTGGACGAGGAGACAGGAGATGTTGTCGGCGTGAGGGAGAGGGATATTTATAGAGAGGATTGGATTGGGTTAAAGAAGCTGGATGAGGAGGGGAGATTGATTTTCAGGTCTGTTCCTGGGAAGCATATGCAGTTGAGTGAGGAGCTTTGGTCAACGCCTTTGAGGAGTTTTTTGGGCCGGTGGAGGTTGATGTTGATGTTGATGTTGATATCGAGGGTGAGGTGCGAGGGGAGGCTTTGGTTAAGCAAATTGGGTATTGATATGTTTCTGGTTGTTTTTGAATTGGGCTTTTCAATGGTTTCTTATATACCCCTTTGTATGATTAGAATTGGGCCCGTTGGATTAGGGTTATTGGAAGATTATTTCTAGGATACAGAGCATTGGTACTAGTAGACCATATACTAGATACTGAGAGCTTGATGGAAGCGGAGCCACTAAGATCATTAAGATACCAATAAAGAAGTACTAGTGTACCTACTACTAGTGTAGTACAATTCAAGCATTATAAGGTATACCCAGGGCTTACCAACAACCTATCTACATATCAGCAGATTCTCCCAGCATGCCATGAATATGCAATGATATAGTATCAATGAGCGCCGCTGGCAATGTCCACACCAAGGCGGTCTAAAGGTTAGCTACATCCAATCAGCTAATGCATCACTTCATACCTAATAGGTTTAAAGCAACATGTAAAATATACTTAAGCTACGGAACTTAAAGGTGGCTCCTCTCCTATTCAAGAGACACCCCTTGTGGCTAACTTAAACCTAAACCTCAGTCGCTCAATGAGCACGAACTTCTACCATCACTCATTGAGTCGTAAATCATCCAAAATGCGTTGTATCCGTCTTCCTCAATATTACTTCGATATCTAGTTAGTTAGGCATACCTGTATACTTTCTCCGTTGACAACATCTACTTCTCTAAGATGGACACTGTCCAAAACAACTCTCACCCGTGCGAGCCCTTTGCGATCACTCCTATCAAATGAATTTAATAAAAAGGGGACCGGGTTCTGGATGACTTGTTGGAGATAGGAGTATTCGCGGACGAATATCCATTGGACGTACCAATAGAGGCCACTAGAAAATGACACAAGCTTGGACCCAGTTACACGGTATAAGCGTCATTGAAGAAGAGTCTTGGAGCTATATTGGCCACCCGCAGGACGCCACCAAAAACCTCATATTCGTGTTACACAGCGAAGGGATAGGTCTTGGCCCATTCTTTATTTTGTAATTGAGTGCCATTTTTTCTAGATAATTTTTGCATACGCAGGTACAATGCTAGAGAATGCTCTTGATAGGATTAGGTAGCTCGGCCATGGAGGTACTGGGGCTATTTCTCAAGGGAAATTGCCACAGCCGAAGCATTCCAGCTATTTGTACTTTTCATCATGATCGATGAAAGATGTATATCCTGGAGCGACAGGTGACGCCGGAAGAGCCGGACAGGCCCGATCATCGGCGGTATCCAATGAAGTAAAATCTGCGAATCTGATTAGATGCCGATCTGATTAGATCCAGCTTTTGGGATGCCCCTTTTTTGATTTCTGAATCGGCTGGTTGACGCAAGCCAAAGGTGTCTACCACGGGAATGAGGGAATAAAAATTGATTCACATAATGACACTTTTTATTGACTTTAAAATTTGAGTCACTTCTTTTCCTTGGTTGGGCTTTCCTCGCATATGGTTTTTTGCCCTGCATTCAAATTAGTTGCCACCACGCTACCATTTGGGCATGTTGGGCTGTGAGTTGTACTGTGTAGATCTATATACATTAATTTAATTTGTATTTTATTTTTATTTTATTTTATTTTTTATTTTTATTTTTTTTGAGGGGGGCACTTCCATGTCGAGGTATGCCAAGGAATCCGTCTGAAACTGTTAAGGGGTGAAGTTGTTATCGATCGATCAGATTAGATAAAATCAATAAAAAGGTTCCTTCCTTGTGTGACGAGTACATACAAGTACTACGTATATCCAAATCTCCCAAACCCAGAAGGTGGGTGCTGACGGGTGAAAAAAAAGCCCATCATGAACCAATTTGGAAACTTCATGAGTCTATAATTCGTCGTTTCTAGGCCAGAATTGGGTCCTTGAACGGGGCTAGTCGATCAAGTAATAACATTATTATCTAGTGTGGCTGTTGGGACTGGGCGATTAATTTTGTGAGGCTGTGAAACATAAATTAATCCGGATGGGTCGATCATTGGCGCATAAGGGATGGGTTTGAGAATGGACAAACTTGGAGAAAAAGAGAGAAGATGGTGGAAGGAGAAGCAGACGACGAGTTGAAGCTGCGATCGGGTCCTTTTTCCTCGGCTCGAGTAAAAGTGACGACCCGCGGGCCGTGATTGGTGACGAGGCTGCAGGTGATTCTTCGACAGAGTTATCAGATGAGAATTTCCGAACCGAGAAATCTCCCACGCCCAGACCCCCATCTTGCTTATTGGCAACAAACATATAACTTTATTCCATAATAAAAACCCCACGGCAGGTCTTGTTACATTTGTCCGATTCCATTGCATAATGGGTATTATGTTGAACTGTAATTGATCGCCACTGTTATCATTACTGTGCAGTAAGCATCGAAACATTTTGTTATGATGATGCGCATACCACTTGACTAGGACCTCCACAACCGAGTTTTATTCTTTCTTTGCTTGAATTTTTTGTACCCCTGTACTCCGTACCGTCCCGCCTCGCCTTTTCTAACTAGAAGAATGCCTCCTCGAGGATGATACCCTCGGCTACCCACTGCAGCTTTAGGAACCACACCATTACCAATGGACTCGCCCCACTGGTCTGGACAAGATGCCCAATAGTCGGTTCGTGCCGTGCTTCTGCATCAGAAAATTCACACTGCCTGAAAACCCACTTGAAGTGGTCGATCATTTCCCACATTGCTGGGCGGAAAAACGAAATGACAGAAAAAAAATGAAGAAAAAATTTATCAATCTATCGGATATCCACTGAGAGAGACTAACCAGAGGCCGCCCCTCTTCGCTCCCCTGCCAAGTGGAGAAGATCATGCCCCTCGTAAGTTCGTAACCTCTGGCTCTCCCATCTGTTTCGCTCTTTGGCTACTCCGCTTTTTGTAGAGCAAAATCTCTTGGTCTCCCGCTGTTGTCCATGGCGTCAATCAATGGTTAGTCCCAGTCTTGCATCTGGACGCCGCAACCGGAGCCGTTCTAATGCTAAACTCCCCTCGCCTCTAGCGTATCCATTGAGGGCATGGGTATGTGTCATGGTTTCCTAGCTAAATTCTTTTTTCTCCCTTCTTCTTGGTTTCCCCTTCTCTGTTCCTTCCTTGACCCTTCCTGTTTGTTTTCTGGTGTCACTTGTACGCGGTGTCTGTCCACTGTTCTCGAGCATCGTTTTTCCCCCAGGGGATGCTTATTGGGGGTGTTTGTCTGAGTGAACCATTTCACTCTCCCACTATTGCTGGTTGCTCAATTGTGGGGAGTTTTGAGTTCTAGCTGGAGAGATCAAGTGCACTCTGCATTGAATCTTTCATTTGGTTTGTCGTTTGACTGCCTGAGT